CTCTCTTAAAAAAAAAAAAGAAAGAAACCAAGAGGAGTGTGCCAGCTTTATTCATGCCCTTTAGACCAGGGGCTGACTGTCCCAACTGGGTTTTCTTGGCTGGAACCTCAGCAAGCCCTCCCTTCACTAAGGCTTCCTCTGCACCTGGCTAACTCAGGTAATTCAGAGAACATAGGAATATGAATGAATGACATTACAGAACCGCAATCAGAAGAAACAGGAAAATGTTGGAACTCAGTGGGGCTCACTAAGTTACCCAGGCTGGCCTTGAACTTGTGATCCTCCCGCCTCAGCCTCCCAAGTCATTGGAATTACACTCATGGACCACTGCACCATCTTTTGATGGACATTTTTTGATTTTATAAATATTATTTTGGTTATTCTCACCAAGATGTACTGCTAAACAAATTGAAGTCTCCTTCCAATTTCTACCAAAAAAAAAAAAAAAAGCCAGATGGAATTTTGAACAATTCTGTTGAAAGTAAGAAACAATTTGTGGAAAATTCAAACCTTAAAATATTGAATCCTCTCAGCAATAAACATTATACACTCCTTAGTATTTAAGTGTTCAATGTTTTCAGTATTGACAGTAAAGAACCTACATACTCATTAAGAATGCATCTTATATTTTTGATGCTTTCAGTAAATTTTTACATCTCATATTCCCATTCTTTGTTACTTGTATATGGAAATCCAGTTGATTTTTATGTATTGACATTTTATCTTGTAACATCATTATTTTTTGAAGTCTTCTTAGGATTTATATGTAAACAATCATTTTAGATGGCAATAAAACTAGTTCAACTATCTTCTTTTGTAATCTTTGTGCATTTTATTAATTTTTCTTTATATTTCAATAATTAGTATTATGTTAACTGTTATTTTTTCAAGACCCCTTCTTCAGGTTTAAGAGATTCCCCAATGTGCAGAGTTTTTTCTTTTCATTCTGAATTAGTATTGAACTTGTTAAATTTTACTGCCTTTGTTGTGATTATCACATTTTAATCTTTATTCTGTAATATTATAAACTAAGTTGATAAATGTTTAATGTTAAATAAAATTTTGATTCTTGGGGAAAAAAAAAAGATCTAAGAGTTTAAAGAAACTCAGAGGGGTAAGTCCGGAATGTGGCCATGCTTTACTCCCAGAAGTATTGACCAATTTCAAAGCAGACAGACTATAGTACTATTGAAGTCTTGAGGAATTAAGGGAACAAAAATTGAAATAGAAGGTTAATTTTAAAAGGAAGCTTCTAGAAAATTCCCAATACATTGGTTTGAGATCTGGAAGAGCTACACATAGGAAGTACATGTGGGAATAGAGGAACCCTCACATTGAACACAATTTCCAAACATTTGAATGCCTGAAACAGGATCAGATTGATTCTGAATTGTTAGAACCTCAGGTACATGCTTAAAAGCCAATACAAATCTTTTCTGAGAGAAGATAAAGTCCTCATAGACCTTAAATTGTTCTATAATTTGCATGTGCAATGCCTGAAACCCCCAAATAAATAACCTAGTTCACAATACTAGATGTCTGTAATAAAATTCATAAAGAATATGAGAACCCAAAAATAGATTAAGAGGAAATACAGAAAATAGAATTATTACATATTTTAAAACAAGGGTGCTATGTTTATGGAGATACAACACAAGTCTGAGGATTTTGTAAAAGATTATAAACTATAAAACCATATCAAATGAAAATTCTAAAACTGAAAATAAGATAATTAAAATAACAACTTAGTGGGTAAGTTGAACCACAGTTTAAGACTAAATTGAAGGGAATTAGAAAACTGGAAACTAGCTCAGAATAAATAAAGCACAGAGGGGAGGGAAAAAAAATGAGAAACTACAAAAGAGCATTAAAAACAGAATATAAAGTGCTGGGCTCAGTGCACATAACCGTAGTCCCTGATACATGGGAGGCTGATGCAGAAGAATTGCTTGAACCCATGAGTTCAAGGCCAGGCTGGACAACATAGCAACATCTGGTATGCCTATGTACTATAAATAAACAACAATAACCAATCAAACAAACAAAACCAGAGTCTGTAGTAAAACATTTGTGATACATGTATAATTGGGATATCTTCAGGAAAAAAGTCCAAATGGGGCACAGGCAATATTTAAGAGGTAATACCTGATGATTGCCTAAAATTGAAGATAGACATCAATCCCTAGATTTGAGAAGTTCTACAAATCCAAAACATGACAAATAAAATTAAAATTACCATAGTAAAACTAAAGACCAAAAAAAAAAAAATGAAGAACAGCCAGAAAAAATGACATTATCTCATAATGAAGGTCACAAAAAGAATAAAAGCACAAAAGGGTAAATATCTAGCTAATTCAAATGACAACTGACTGTATAAAATAATAATAATAATGCCTTATGGTAACATATACATGAAGATTAAACAAAAATTTTGGCATATAAGTTATGAGGAGGTAAATGGAGTTTACCTCCTCATAACTTATTCTAAGTTTCTCACATTACCTTGGAAAAGAGTAGAAATACCAAGCAATATTAGACTTTAATAAGTGAAGGATGGATATTTTACAGAAAAGTAAAATTATATAGAAGTACTAAGCTAATGGAAGAAATAAAATGGAATATTAAAAAAATTCTGGGGGGCTGAGGCTGTGGCTCAGTGGTAGAGTGCTTGCCTGTCATGTGTGAGGCCCTGGGTTCAATTCTCAGCACTGAATATAAATAAACAAATAAATAAAGGTCCAAACATCTTAAAAAGTATTTTAAAAAAAAGAGAGACTGCCTTCTTTCATTAAAAAAAAAATTCTGAGCCCCAAAGAAGGCAAAAAAGAAGAATAAAGGAATCTAGACCAGCAAGAGGAAAAAGAATCTAATAGTAAAATTACAGATTAAATCTAAACATTGAGTAATTACCTTTAGTATAAATAAACACTCCAATTAAAAATAAAGTTTGTCATAGAGGATTTAAAAAGTTACTGTATGCTGCTTATTAAAGACTCATCTAAAGTACAAAGGTATGGAAATGGATGGAAAAAGAAAGCTGGAGCCATTTTTTTTAATATCACAAAAGTGGATTTTGGATGCAGAAGATATTACCAGAGATAAATGGGATTAATCATAATGATATAATTTTTAGTTCACTGGAAAGATTTTTGTAATTCTAAGATTCTATGCCTTTGATAACATGGATGAAATTCATGAACAAGGATTGATTGAAGTACAGATAAAGTAGTGCTTTTCGTGTGATCTGTAGTGAAGGGACGTTACAAATTTAATCTGTTGCAGATTTCTACTTCCAAAAAATACAATAAAAATGAACTATTAAAAAACAAGAGAATACAAATTTAGTGATCACATGTATGCATGCTGTAGCAATATCAAATTGGTAATATAGTCACTAAATGCTTATTTTAATTTCCTACTTATGCGCTTTGGGGTGACAGTTTGCAGATTACCACTGGCCAGCAGAATACAATGTGAATAAAACTGAAACAGAAAATGCCAAAATCAAAGTGGGAGATTTGACACATTTGTCAACAAATCTGATAGAAGAAGCAGGGGGAAAAAAAAAAAGAAACGTGGAGAAGAAGACAAATAAATTTAATCTAATTGACATATATAGAACCTTACACCCACCAACTGCAGTTGGGGGCCCTTTGTAAGCACACATGGAATATAAACAAAAATTGTCCGTATGCTTTAAGACAGGAGTCATGCCAAATATGTTCTTTGGAGTAGAATTAGACTAGAAATGAACTTTTAAAAAATCTTAACTAAAAATCCTCCATATGTTTGGAAGTCTAAAACTACACATTTCACTAATCCATGAGTTAAAGAAGAAACCATAACAGAAATTAGAAAATATTATGAATAGTAAAAAAAAGGAGCATACCCCAAAACTTTTGGAATTCTGTTGAGAGCAACATAGGGCCTTAAATGCAGTTCAGAAAGGAAGGAAAGTTGAATATCAATATATCTATTTCAAGAAATTGGAGCAGTACAAGAAATTAAACTAAAAGAAAAAAAGCAGAAGGAAAGACACAGTGAAGAGCAAGAATAAAAAAAGATTAAACATAAAATAATCTTTTTCAAAACCTCAATAATACTAAAAGAAAATACATATGAGTATTTTTTAAAATAGTTGGAACCCAAAGAGCCTAAGTATGACACTAAAGGTAGAAACTATAAAGAAAAAGGACAGATCAGTTTGACTGTTTCCTTTTTTGAAAATATAAATGTCAAAATCACTACAAAAGATAATGCAAGACAAATGACCACACAGGCAAAATACTTGTAAATCATATCATAAGGAGTTCATATCATTCCTAGGTAAAGAGAATATGCAAATCAATACATAAAATAAAAATTTTATATCTTACTTACAAAGGTAACAAAAGCAAGAATAATAATCAGTAGTGATGAGTCTCTTAAGAGCTAATGTAGGGAATAGAAACAGCGAATGTTTTTGTGGAGCAAAGTTTAACAATATGTTTAAAAGACTTAAATGCAAACCACTCAGTTCAGGAAATCTATTAAGAATTTTGCCTTGGGAAAAATAATCATGGACATAGGCAAAGATGTTTTTACATATATGTTTATTATATCACTGTTACTTGTAGTTTTAAAAAATATAAACTAAATAAACATCCAAAATTAGAGGGCTGGTAAAAAAGAAAAATTTGTATGGGGTAGTGTAGCTCAGTGGTAGAGCTCATACTTAGTATATATGCAAGGCCTGAGTTCCATCCCCAGCATCAAAAACAATAACAAAAGACCTTTGGTACCCCCAGTCAACATAATAGAGTAATACAATTTAACTAGATAAGATAATAACAGGAAAGCCAGGCATGGTAGCACATGCCTGTATTCCATGGTACCTGGGAGGCTGGGCAGGAGGATCTGGAGTCAAGCCAGCCTGAACAACACAGTAAGACCCTATCTCAGAAATAAATAAATAAACAAACAAACAAATAAATCAAACAGAGCAGGGCTGGGCATGTAGCTCAGTGGTAGAGCTCAGGATTCGTGTGCAAGGCCCTGCATTCAAACCCCAGCAAACACACACACACAAAACAGATAACAGCAGAGAAGATTTAATAAATGAAAAGGAAAATAATGTATTGGTAAGGAATAAAGCAAGTTACAAAAAAATATAATTTTTCTTTTGTTATAGGTAGTTAGGTTAGACAATGATTTTTTCATTGTTTTTAGAGGTTGTTTTTATTTTATTCACTTATCTGTATTTCTAAAATACCTAAAGCAAACATATATTACTTTTAAAAATTGTATTTAAAAGTCTCCTTTGCATTCAAAAACTTTCACCTTTGCTTTCAAATTTCAAATGAAATGAAAAATAATCAGTTAAGGAATTAAGAGTCCTAGTTTTTACCTTATTTGCAGTAGTGGCTTCTTTATTCCATTTTTTCCTTTTCATCTTATCGCCATATATGGTTTCTTATAGGAAATAGAACATCATTTCCAAAGTACCTAATTCTGTAGAAAGACAATCCATTTACTCATATAATGCATATTTGTTAAACACATTTCATTGCCCAATAGTGTGCCAAAGAAAGAGAATATAGTGGTGACATCGACCAGTCACCTCTGCAATTGTGGTACACAAGGTACAGAGTCATTCTGACCAGATGTGTCATATTTAGCAATCACTTAAGGACAATTTTCTGATGGAAACCACTCCTCTAAAAGTCTGGAGCCCTTCTATGCACATTTAGTGTCCTAAGTTTATTAGCATGAGCTTGCAACTCATCCTTCAAAAATTAGACTGTAGTCAGGTATTGTGGCACACATCTGTAATCCCAATAACTTGGGAGGCTAAGGCAGGAGGAGTGCAAGTTCAAAGGCAAGCCTTAACAACTTAGCAAGACCCTGTCTCAAAGTAAAATATAAAAATGACTAGAGATATAATTCAGTGCTAAAGCTCCCCAGGGTTCTCTCTCCAGCACTCACCTGCACACACACGCAAAAGACTATAACTCTCTTATTGAGAAGTAAGATAATATTTTATTTAAGTATTTTTAAAGCTAAATTTTAAATATTTGAGTCTTAAGACAATTAACCTTTTAAGAAATACATTAATGAATAAAGGTTTCAACATAGATGTCCTCCTTCCTGTGTAGGACAGAAGGAAGAGGCTGTTAGAGTGCACTTGTGCAAGAAGACCATAAAGACTTGGTTCCTGCTGGCAGACATGCAGACAGAAATTCATTTCCCAGCACGATGAATCAGCACAATGACAGATCTAATGCAGCCCTAGGAATGACACAAGTCATAACACAGCATGAGAAATGAACTCTGCGTATATTCTCAATTTGTTTCCTGCTCTGAAGGTTCCAATGCTGAACTGTCTAGAACCAGATGTGACCTCAAGTTCAGGTCTTGGTGGAAGTGGACAAATAGGCAGAAATGGAGGCTGTCACAGGCATGCAGACACCTGCCTGGCCTGGGACATATGGGCTTTCATCCAGATGAGGTGAGGATTTAGTTATCTATTGGTGAGTAATAACATACCACAAAACTTAGTGGTTTAAAACAAATGTAATGTCTATTCAGTTTTTTTGAATAGACATATTCAGTTTTTATGGGAGCTGAAGAGGCTCAGCTGTGCAGCTATCTTGGTTTACATGTTGTGGCTGAAAGAACCAAACTGTGTTCACCTGGGAGCTTTATGTTCCAATGGATAGTTCAAGATGGCGCCTCTCCCTTTAGGGTCTCTGAATGCATAGTGTCAATTGTCAAGTCTGGCCTGAGTGACTTCACAATATGGCAGATGACTTCCAGAATACAAGCCTCTATGTGTAAGTGCTAGTGGGGCATCTACTTACATCCTATTTCCCTTTGGCCCCAAACAAGTCATATGGCCCATCCCCAGAGTCAATTTAGGAGGCACCACGCAAGCTGTGACTATTTTGAGGTACCGTTTCGTAGGCGCCATCAACCTTATAGTCTACCTCAGAGACCAAGACCAGCAAATAGGAGTGGGAAGAGAGTATAAAAGATGGTGGTAGCAGGAGGAGGTAGTAGAGCAGAGGCCATAATAAGAATATGGCCACCACCCAAGACTGTGGCCTAATTAGAGTTAGGGGTGGGGCAAGGGAATTCAACTGAGGAGAGGAAGACAGGTTTATGGTGGCTGGTTAAATAGATGCAGCCTGTAACAAGGTCAGGAAAGTGGAATAAAAATCAAAGGTGGCACAAGAGAAACTAAGCAAAGATAGAAAAAAAATACTGATTTTTCATAAACAGAAATTGGGAAAATAAAAACACAAATCTTTGGTTCCAATTTTTTTTTAAAATGAGGAAGCTGGGATCTTTTGATTTGCTCCTGGGATGTTCCTTGCCATTTTAGAGTGAGAAGGCCCAATGGGTGGTCAGGTAGCTCCCTGGCTGCTTCTCTCTCCCATCTTATTCTCTGACCCAGCCTCTCTGTAACCCAAACATTAGCTCAGATGCTTAAACTTTAATGTAATCCAGGTCAGACTCACTTTTATATATAAGATATTTTAAATATTTGCACAAAGGTGAAAATATGAGTAATTTGACCAGTAGACTTATGTAGAGGGAAAAGACGGCTTATGAGGTCCCTCGTGATTCTCTGACCTCATCTTCTGCTCCCCTGCCCCCATTCCCCCCCCCAGGCACTCTGGCCAGACCAGCCAATTGCTCTACAATGGAGCCTTGTACTTGCCATATGTCCCTGTCTGAAAGTCTCTTTCCTGAATATCCACACAGCACTTCAGATCTGTGCTGATAGGTTAGCTCAACGTGATTTTCCTAGCCATTTTCCTGACACTACTTAAAAGTGCAACACACCATTTCTCCACACAGCTCTCTCTCTTCTCTGCTCCATTTTTTTCTAACACCATAAATAAACACACACACACACACACACACACACATACACAGAGAGAGAGAGAGAGAGAGAGAGAGAGAGAGAGAGAGAGAGAGAGAAACTGCTTTTGCTCTTTGTCATTGCTGTTTGTCTGAATTCTTTTGCAGTTTTCCAAGATGCCAGGATGATTCTAACATGCAGTAATTTCACAAGGAGCAGCTCAAGGGTATTGGCTTCAGAATTATCCTGAGTTGGATTCCACTCTTGCCTTGTAGCTGAGAAGCCCCATGACCTTGGGCAGTTTCTTAATTCTCCAAACTTCATCTGCAAAATGCAAGTCATAAAAGTCTTTCTTATCTCCCAAGTTCCTGTAAAGATTAAATGAGATATACAAGCATGGAGCTCAAGCTCATGGTGTATGGCACGTAGTAAGTGCTAAGAAACCAACAAGGTTTTTAGGGGAGAGGGTGGGATTCTACTTGTCTGTGATGTTTGTGCTCACCTGCTTAAGACCAGAAAACCTGGTTGCATTACTGCTTCACTTTCTGCTGGTGGGTATGGTTGGGATTGCTTGGCAAAGAAACTTCTCGAACTTTTAGAACCCCAGTCTCTCTTAGGTGTTCATAAACTCTTCATTGTTCATAGGCCTGCTCTAATCTTTTAGAGAAAAATGAAGAATATTGATATTGAAGTTGCCAGAGGTTCTTGGCTAGGAAATATCAGTGAAGTTCCTTTTGAGGACTTAAGTGTATACAATGATTGTATTTGAGTTTTGAATTTGAAAGAAGTATATGACAAACTTAAAAAAAAAAAAAACTTTTTGTCTAAGGAAGAGATCATCCCATAAACTGTCCCAAGATTCTGGCCCCAGGCACTTCATTTCCTAATGGAACCTTCAGGTTTGTACCATGAATAGTTCTAGGATTTCTTCATGCTGCCTGCTGTTTATTTATTTTAGAATCTTGTCTCTGGGGACATTATATTAAAGTGAATTTTCTGTAAAAACAGTTTCTCTCTAGCTCATTCCTTCTGGAAATATCGGATAGGAATAAAGGAGAAATTTTTTTTAATATCTTGTATTTGTTATTTATTTCAAACATCATAAAATTTATGGAGCTCTATTGACATGGAGAGTCCAAAGCTGTGACTCTGTCCTTCAGACTGCTTATATTCTGTTAGAGGAATCAGACTTGCATGTGGCCAGCTGTAATGGAGCTTGTGAAGTGCTACTGTTACAGTCCAAACACAGCAGAGGGAAAGAGTGGGTATGCAGGAAGTGTTCTCAAGAACCTCACGGAAGAGAGATTTCAAGAGATCAAAGAAAAGCAAAGGCTCAGGATAGAACAACAGGTGGCTCATTTGCAGAGGCAGAGAGAATAGGCAGGGTCATGGGAGAAGTGGCCAAAGATAGTCCTACAGAGGCAGGTAGGGCAGATATGAAGAGCCAGAGGAGTCCACTTCAAAATTCAAATGTCATCCTGTAATTGATGGGAGCTGTTGGAACTTTTTGAGCAAAAGTAGCTCTACATTAAAGATCACTTTGAGACAGGCCTCCCACCTTCACCAGAAACTAACGTGGCATTATTCCAGAGGTTGGCATTTTAGAAATGATGTGGGTGATCTTTTGGGACCGTCACTGTGGAAATCCCATTCCCAGGTAAGGAGGAGGGCCACAAGAGGCTATCGCAGCAACACAGATCCCAGAGGGCCTCTGTTCCTCTTTGGAGGCCTGGTATGTGGGGTGACCCTCAACAGCAGTTTATCCACAGAATGACATTCTCCTTAGGCTGGTTGGAAACGAAGTCACCCTTCTGCTCACACATAGTCCCTGGGACCAGCCAATGTGGAAGGCCCACGGCTGAGGGCCACAAGGAAGGGGTGAGAAGAAGTCCACCCGAAGGCAAATGCTCTGAAGCTGCCTCACGGTTTTTTGTCTTTAAGGAATAACTGAGAGACAGCTGTCCCTCAGCTCTTTCTTCTGGCCTACTGTCTTCAGAAGGAGAACTGGGACAAAGATTTGAAAGTCCTTTATTTGGAAAGTCATTCTAGAAATCGCTAGTAGAGGAGTGGGGAGGTGAGACAGGGAAGCGGGGAGGTCTCTACAGTGTCCAAGAGAGCAGGTGATGCTGAGGTGACTGGGAAGAAGTCACCACGGAGACTTCCGGGTAACTGCATAGAACAAGGGCAACTCCTCGCTGTCCCTGGCTGCAGACTGCTCCCAGGGTGGAATGTCCCAACACTTCCTGAACTTCAGCACACCCACCCAGGCACAAGCATGGTCCACTGGCCGAAGTCTCAGTACTGCAACGGGAGAGCTATCCGCAGGTACAGAAAGGACAAGAGCTGAGGGTACAGGATGGGCACAGGTGATGGCTGCCACACCTGCCCAGCCTTAAAACATCAGCAGGGGGGCAGCCATAATGCTTGGCACTGGGATAAGAGGTAGACTCTATGCCTGCCTGCTCCCAAGTAGTTAGGACTGTCCTTTCTCCCTCTGTAGTGGGGATGTGTATTATATCCTGATTTCCTTTTGGACAGTGTGGTAGGATTGTTATCAGCTCTTGGTCCTCTTCTAGACAGGACAGCATATGACCCAGGCTAGACCTGTAGCCTTGTCCACTATGAAAACCAACTCAAGCTAAATGGCAAAGGGCTGGGGATGTGGCTCAAGCGATAGCGCGCTCGCCTGGCATGCGTGCGGCCCGGGATTGATCCTCAGCACCACATACAAACAAAGATGTGGTGTCTGCTGAAAACTAAAAAATAAATATTAAAAAACTCTGAAAAAAAAAGATTAAAAAAAAAAAAAGCTAAATGGCAGAGATCAAAAATGGTTGCTTTGTCCAGCTCCTGCCTCGTGACTCCTCCAGAGCTGCTAGGTGCTGTCTGGGGTTTTTTTCTTTTATTTTTATTGCTCCCAGCTTTCTCTGTGATCCTGGGGAGGCCCCCACATTTCTTTTACTTAATCATTCCAGAATCTGTTTTTATCATTTGCCATCAAAGAACCCAGATATAGCCCTTGCTATAATTCAATCATTTCAAAAGTGTTTATTGAAGATGTACTATATTAGAAAACTCACTGAACATGCAGGTAAGAAGAAAAAAGTATGCCTGCCTTCCTAAGGCCCTGAGTAAAATAGCAAGAAAAGAGTGGATAAATGGTCCCCTATCAAGCCAGGCTTGGTGGCACACACCTGTAATCCCAGTGACTCGGGAGGCTGATACAGGAGGATCAGGAGTTCAAAGCCAGCCTCAGGTGAGGTGCTAAGCAACTCAGTGAGACCCTAAATAAAATACAAAATAGGGCTGGGGATGTGGCTCAGTGGTTGAGGACCCCCCAGTTCAATCTCTGATAGCCCCCCGCCACACACACATATACACACACAATAGTCCCCTACCAGCCAGAGTGACAGGTTTTAACAAAGGCAAAGAACAGAATATTTACAAATAAATCTGTAGGATCTTAATACAGATTGGAGCAGAGGAGACAGCAGAGAGGATGTTTCATGCAAACAGAGATGTGAAGATTTATGAAGAATATTCCAAGTAGAGGGATAAAGGATAGCATCAAAAAAGAAAGACCAGATGCAGGAAATGGGACTGCCTACCTCTGCCCACCTTTGGTCTTTGCTTGTTTATCTGCTTGTTCATTTGATCACACCCATTTGGTCACATGGCAGTAATCCTAGCTCCAGGAGCTCAGCCCTTCTGCATGCACTCCCTGAGCACTGAGGTTCCAGGCAGCAAACCAAGTTGGCCTCTTTGGATGAATGTGATGCTGAGTGGCTGGTGGGAGTGTGGCTGGGGTGGTGGTGCTGGGGTGCACTGCCCAGGTCCATCCCAGTGGACAACAGACTCACTTTTCCCACTGTTGAGACCTGACCTTCAGCTGTCAGATGGCTCTAGAGTCATCCTGTCTAGGGAACTCCAAGTCTCCTGACCCTTCCTTTGAGATTGTGCTGTGGCTCAACTTTTCCTTCTACCCAATCCTGCTTCTTCCCCTTCCTCTCTACAGGTACTGATCCCAAAAGCAATTCTTTTAAAAGTCCTATACATGAATCCTTATCTCAGGGTCTGCTGCTTAGAGAATCACCTTGCAACAGAGTAAAAGAACTAGCATCAGGGATTAGGAGACTGTGGTTGAGTCTGTCACAGCCTAGGCTCTGGGACCAGCCCGGGAACTCTCTGTGAGGCCTGGTACAGAGCTCTGAGCTTGGCGGATGCAAACTCTCAATGGATACTTGTTGATTCAGGTGATGATGGGACTTTCCCCATTAAATGCCTGAAGAGCCCACACAATTATCAGGTATTATTATTTAGAGTTGGGAAAAGGGGGGAAAAGATAATTTCAGTGAAAAGGTGAAAGATTAGATTAAAAGTCCCTGACAGTGGAGCAAAAAAAGAGCAGGGGAAGAGTATGACACAGGGGGACACAATGAGGAGGAGAAGGAGAACAAGTACTTGAAAAATGCACAGAGGCCCAGAAAGTAAAGGATGAACCAGCCCACCGATCAACAGGCAATCGACAGTGTGTCCCACATCCAGAAATGTCCAGCAGGGTAAGCAATCATGTAAAGTGAAGGCTCACATTCAGTCTTCTAGAAAGGTCTCATTGGTTCTCAGTAGTCTGGAAAAGAGTAGGGCAGGATAGATCAGTCTCCTTTGCCATTGTGGATCCTGAGCCTAAGAAATTGCTGGTATCCAGTAGTCACCTACCAACTTAGGTGTTTGCAAACAAAATAGGTAGTTTATTGTCACTAATGCAAACAAGGATTGAAATAATATGTTGGAACACTTGTCTGCTACCAACCTCTGCCACCGGTATATGAAAACACATACCTACTTACCCCCAGTTTCTTTAGCCCAGGTAGCAATTATAAACAAAACTGCTTCCTGGTACATTAGAAATAGATTTTCCTGTACATCAGACCAAGAAAGGAATCCCCAAGGCCCTCTCTATATTTATCCTATGCACATTAATAATTCTTTTAAAATTATGTAAGTGAACTACTAAGAAGACGGCATGCTTTTAAATTTCATCATGAAGGAATAAACACGTGTTATAGAACATAAACAAAGATATCTCAAGACACATTTGAAGCCCACACTAACAGGATATTGAAGGAAGAGGGATTGTTTCAAAATGAAATAGCCCCTCTTTGCAGTGAGACTACATCAAAGCAAGTTCCTCTTATCTTCAGGAATCTGGACTTTTCCTCGAAGTGGGGAATAGGAACCCCACATACTCACATGTGCAAGGTGATCCCTTCTTCTCTTTTAACCTTGTCCCATTGACCTTTGGTGCATTTCTACACAATGATCTGCCATCTTCCCGCTGGTTTGTGATCTTTCTGTGGGTAGGGACTTTCTCTTTAATCTCCCATTCCTTAGTACACTGCAGATTACCTGTACATGGGAGATACTCACAACATATCTAAGGGAAGGGAAGGGGGTTGGGTGTGATTCAAAACTCATTGAGAATTGTCAAATGCTTTATGCCTGGAGAAGTAGGGTATAGAGAGATCAGCTCTATACCCCAGCTCTGCCATTTATATGTATGTCCTTAGCAGAGGCACTTTACTGCCAAGCCTTGTGTCCTCATCAGTTGATTGGGGATTATTATTTCTACCTTAAAGAGGTCTTGAGTGATTAAATGAAATAAAATAACATGAAAGGATTCAGCAAATTATTAAGTGCCATGTAATTGTTGCTTACTATTATGATTACACTGGAATCAAAGTCAACAAGTGAACCTTTCTTCTGTGTGCAAAGCATTATATTATGATAGAATATTTTAAAGGAGGGAAAAAGGTTTTCTTTAATTAATGTTTCCTCCTTAGATCGGGATTTTGCTATAGAGTCTGTATTGGATAGTTATCATTTTCTTACACTAACTGAGAGCAACAACCATTCCCATGGTTTTTTGTTTGTTTATTTGTTTGTTTGTTTAGTAGCCTCCAGTCAAATCAGAACCACTTGAGAACCTAAACACAGATTTCTAAGTCCCAACCTCAAGGAATTCAACTCCATTGTTCTAGAGTGGGGATGGGGAAATGTATTTTTTGTTTGTTTGTTTTGCAGTGCTAAGGATTAAACCCAGGGCCTCACCTAGGCTAGGCAAGCACTCTACCAGAGAGCCACACCCTTAGCTCAGGGAAATCCATAGGTTAACAAGCTCTCCAGGGGCTGAGGGTTCGCTCAATAGTAGAGCATGCAGAAGGTCCTGGGTTCAAGGCCCAGTACAAAAAAAAAAAAGGAAGGAAGGAAAGAGAAAAAGAAAAGAAAGCTTTCCAGATGCATCTGAAGCACAACCAGGCAAGGAGCCTGGACATATTTCTTTTTCCATTTAATGCTCTCAGAACAGTTTTAACTGGACATTTTCAAGCTTGGACAAATGAGAGTTTGCAACTGGCTGGCTAATTGCCTAAAAGATGCTAGGAAGATTCATGGCATTAGATTTTGGGGCTCTTTATTTGTTTGTTTTCTTTAGGAGATTTATTTATTTATTTAGGACTTCAAAGCGAACAATTCTTCTAATTGCTACTGTAACATCTTTCTTTTTATTTATTTTTTGGTGCATGCAGGATAAGCATAGTACCACTGAACTACACCCCCAACTCCTTGGTAGCATGTTTTCCCAGAGCCCAGACACAAAGAGGTCAAAGGTGTCAGCTCAAACCAGCAGTTGTGGTTTCATTAATCCAGCAGACATACTTTCCCCCCAAATAAAAAGAGAACACTGGTCCTCCTCCTTGCTCTGTCCTTGTCTTCTTGTCTTCTGTTGTTCTGGGATCCTGAGCAGCTCCATGTCCTCACTCCCTGACAGAAACAAGTTCTATTGTTCGCCCCATTCAGGAAGGAGGGTTCTCTGGCAGCTATGGGAACAGCAACTGCTGAGTAGTCCCCGCAAAGAGGTGCTGGTCTTTCAGACTCCAAGGGGACAGCCTGCCTGCATCATACCCTCCAAGGCAGCCAGCCCAGGTCTTTAACCTTCACACCTTCCAGGTGAGGGGAGTTTCTGTTCCCCATTTTCTGGTTAGATGAGGCTGCTAAGGGTTTGGGTTCTGAATAACTGATAACTCCCTAGTGCCAGTTTCTCTTAAGGACTCTTGTTGACTTCATAAAGTCAATCTTCATTTCCTTAAAGTGGTCTGGTCACATGTGAAGATATAACATTTCAGGCCAAGCCTCGGCAGCATGACCACTGTTGCTAATTGCATCCTTACCCAACTGCTATAAGCTGTAAATACCCCCTGAAAATTAGTTTTCTTAAATCTGTGCTGGCTTAGTTGGGGGTCCAGTTTCCTGACCTACAGCCCCTAAAATGAGTAGAGTGATTTTTA